TGCTGCCATTAACAAGTATTTACTTGCTTTCCAATTTGTATAAGATACTAATAATCATGAAGTTACTTTAGTATTATTCAGCTACCTAGTGTCTTCTGCCCATTTTTATAAAATCCTGTTTTTGTTTATGATTACTACCATTTGAATCTAAAGTACCTAAGTTGAGTTTTGTCCAGCAGAGTTTCATCCAGGAATATTTGAGAGACATTTAGGCCTCCAGTGATGATGATGCATTTCCTAGGCTAAAATGCAAGAGACTGTAAAAAAGTTTTCTTGTATTGTGGTGATAGTGAAAAGTATAATATCTAACCATTTTTATTAGGAATTCTACACACTTTGTGTTAGAGGTAAAAGTGGTCAATCCAATAGTGCATATATACAAGAAAAACTGATTATAATTTTCTAACTTGCAGAATCAGGTAACTTGCTATGAAATTCAGGTTGCCTGTGGTTTAAAAGTGGATATAAGTACTTATCTTTCTCTATTTTAACCAAATAAAATGATAAACCATAAACTAAATTCCAGGTGGTATGTCGTAATGGAGAGGGGACATCTAGTCTTGTACAGAATCACTCCAAGGATGATTTCTAAGATCACCTAACCATCTGCCTATTAACCAGATTAACAAATACAATAATTGTATATGTTATCACTTTTCAGTGACTCATAATCTTATTACTTGAGCTATTCATTTTCACTGACCTGATGCAGATTTCTTTTGAGAATGTGAATCCAAGTCCATTAAGTGTGTGCAGCACATTCAGTTCTATACTACAGGTTGGTTTTCCTCTTGAATCTGTTTCAGTAAACTCTTTATCAATTAGCTCTTCCCTTGTGAGAATGGAGCTTCCTCCTCCCAGCGATTTATACTGACTAGGTCACCAGCTGTGTGAGATAACTTTCTCCTTTCACTAACTTGTAAGGAGTAATAAGAATAATCTAACTGGACACCAGTTTCCCACTTCTTAGACCCAATATTCTAAAGCAGCAACTCTTTACTTAAAAAGTCAGAGCCATTTGAAAAGTTTTTCAAGTCCTTATTTTATTGTAAATGTTGCCAGCTTTATCAAACAACATTGACATAGATGTGAAGTAAATTTTTATATTTTAAGAACATTGGAGGTATCACATGTAGGTGTATGGCATAACTGAAAGATTTGCATATTAATTCCTGGTTGGTGATTTGATGAGAGGAAGCCCACGGCAGCTTTCAAGAAGATTCTTAAATGTTTTTTACAAGCCTTCTCCAAGCCCCTCAGGGAATTCTCAATAATGCTTTATATATCTCTTTCTGTAGTGCCACATTTTATGATAATTGAGATTAGTCTTCTGTGTTTATCTTGTAAACCACTTGAGGGCAAAGGTCATTTTCTTATTTTTGTATTTTCCACAACTCAATGCATAGTAGGCGTACAATGAATAAAGCCTAGATTTACTAAGCTTAAACCAAAAAGTTACCTCTACGCAATTAGTGTATAGTTTTTAAATATATACAAAATGTTTATCTTCTTCACTTTTCATTTAAATTAATCATTTAAAACTATGAGAAAATCAAGTTTAACTTTGAATATCTTAATACTTATAGCATCATCATCA